CGGGGGCGGGGGGGGGGGGGGAGGCAGAGAAAGGGGTCATGCTGGCTCAGGGCTGACACAGGGCCAAGGGGGGACCCTCCGTGTCCAGAACCATACGCCCCACGTGCCAAGGGGCTTGGGAAGAGGGACTCAGCAGGTGCCCACATGGTTACCATGTACTGAAGGCGGTTCCTGTACTGCAGCTTGTCTCGCAGAAACCCGGTGATGGCGCACTCCTCGCTCGGGGTCAAGGGCCACACCTCCAAACCCTGGTTCCCCAAGGCCATGCCAAGGAGGATCCCGAGATCTGTATCCAACAGGAACACATGAGCAACCTGCACCGCTTCACACCACCTAGTGGGCAAAGCTGTGAACAGCTGTCCTCCCTGTTCCTGGCCACAAGTCCTTGCAGGAGAGGCGGGAGGAGGTTGGGGCACAGAGCCCCAGGGCAATGCTCTCCCTGAGGGCTGGGCTCCAGGAGAGCAAGGCCAGGCAAGCACGAGCCATCCAGCCTGGCCACTCCCGGCCAGCAGTGTCCCCCAGAAGCCGCCCCCTGGGGTTGGTCTCATCTCCTCCCCACTCCTGCCTGGGACCCCTCCCTGCACCGTGAGGCAGGCACCATCCCTCGTCCAGGGCAACCTCAGCCCTTCGTCCAGGGCTAACGTCTTTTCAAAGCCCGCTGCTGCATTTTCCATCTGGAGGTTCAGGAGATGTGGATTCTAATTCCAAGTCTATAAATGCCTCTCAGGTGACTGAAGCCATTTTCTTCCCTGTTCTATCTGACCTTGGCAGTTAGAGGCACCCTGTGGGTTTGTAGAGGCCCTTCCAGTTTACTCATTCTGGGAGGCTAAGTGAATCTCAGACTGTTTCTCCTCCCTGTTAACAAATGAGCAGCCACCTTCCAAACGTTACCAGCCTTCACCACTGGAGGTCGCTGTGACTCCAAAAATAGCCTGTGTGATTTCCCATAACTGAACAAATTTACAAAAATCTGAGAAATTTTGCAACACATGTGAACAAGGCTTAAGTCGCTCAGAGCAGAAAGAACAAAATATAAATAGGCAAGAGACGTATCAAAAAAACCAACCTCACTAGCAAAAGTAAAGAAATTAATTAAAACAGATGCCATGTTTTACCTCTCAAATTATGGGTTTTTGTTTTTTTTTAGTTTTATTTTATTTTAATAACACTCGATGCTGGCAAAGTAGTGAGGCAGGTGCTCTCGTCCTGGAAAGCAATTTGGCAATTTTTGTTATTAATGGACTTAATAATGTCCACGCCCTTTGACCCACTAAGCCTTTAAAATGTCCACACCCTTTGACTCATCAAACTTATTTCGAGGAATAAACCTGAATGAAAACAAAAAAAGAGAGACAAACCAAAAGATTTATGGACAGAGACGTCCGCTGCAACATGATTTCATCATAGTGAAAATCTGTGCATGGCCTAAATGTTCAATAACAACCAATGCAGCCAATAAAAATCACACTGGGAAAGAACGAATGCTTTTATGCTGATGTGATAAGAAAAGTACTCAGGATAGGCTTAGGGAAGTTCTAAAAAAGCATGACTCAGCGCTCTGTCTGTGGGCATCCAGCATGCCTTGAATTCTGTTAATTATGTGTGTGCACAGGGAATGTGGTAGAAAGGGCTGCACCAAATCTCTGTGAGAGATTTTTCTGATCTTTATATTTTGCAGGACATAGTTTGTATTCTGCAATCAATATCTGTATTGTTATAGTAAAAAGCAATCTTTTTTTTTTTCTTTTTTTTTCCTTTTCTTTTTTTTTTCCACCCCCAAAATCAGCCAGGCAGTCTGAGTCACCTCCTTGATCCAGCCCTGGTTGAGTAAGAATTATAGACAGGACCTTCCCTACTCACCTCCCTGGCTCTCAGGAAGACTTCTGTTCTCAGACTCAGGAAGACTTCCGTTCTCAGACTCACTAGCCCCAGCCTGCTCATCTTCACTTGCCCACATCCTTCTTGGGGCCTCTGCCATGCCTTTGCTCCCCTGAACCCCTCACCAGGAGCATCCTCGGGTCTATCCAAGCCCTGTGCCCCACCAGCCCTTCCTCTCACAGAACTCTGGAAAAAAATTCTTTTTTTGAAAAGTCACAACCCATTTCGTACTTTTCTCTCTCTCTTCTTGTGTGCTTGACCCACTATTCAGACAAAGGAACAGATGAACAAACTGAATCGGCGTGACTTCTGTCTTGCTGTTTCGTCATTAACCCTCTCAGCTTCATTAACCCTCTCAGCTTGGTGCCCCTGCAGGTCAAGGTCATTCGAGCCGCCAGGCTTCACCCTTACCCTGGGTATCTTCTCACACTGCAGACCTCTCTCAAGGTCTCACCAAAACTCCTTTCCACCCCAGGGTCTCCCCTGCCTATACCAGTCCCCACTAATCTCTGTTCCTAGCACCATCTGTCCAATTCGCTCATCATCTTGACTAGACAACTTCGCCCCTACTATCTGAATACGTGATGCAGTATTCACAGCCCGGGCCTGTTTACTGAGCACTTTTGGGGTTCGCCGCAAGCAGGGGGATGGGAGCATGCATCTGAATCTCCTAGAGAGCTGGCAGGACCCCACCCCAGACAGTCTGATTCAGTAGGTCTGGGGTGGGGCAAGAGAACCTGCATTTCTCACAAGCACCCAGGTGATGCTGCAGCTGGCCATACTTTGAGACCCATTGATCCGAGTGATGGCTGCAAACTGGTGTTGCAAGGGCCACAAAGATTTCACATAAAAATCTGAACTTAATTAACATCGTTTCTTTAAAAATCAGTATCTCTGTCCACACTAGGTCTTTCCCACTGGCTGCCCACCCCCACCCACCCCAGGTCCTGCCCCAGTTGTCCCTATCTGTGTCCTGGGCCAGAGCCTCCCGGGCCTGGGAACTGGGTCTTAAGAGCCACCGAGCCTCCCAGGCTGGGGTGCGTGGGCTGTGCCGAAACCCCGCCCACAGATGACCTGCCTTCCTCCACGTCTGCTGCCCATCTCCAATTCTGAGCTTCTTTTCTGTTGCCTCCGCCCCAAGAAACAAGCCAGCGAACAGGTGACTAGGCAGGGACAGCACAGCTGGAGCCTCATGGCCACTCGTACCCCAGGAACCCCACAGCCAGTGCCAACCTGACCCTGGTCGGGAGGCCCACCTTGTCCCCATCCTCCAGAGGCAGGAGAGGCCTGTGAGGCAGAAGAGGGGGCTGAAGAAAGAGCAGAGTGAAGAAGGAGGTCCCCACGGTTCCCCGAGACGGCCTTCGTGCAGAAACGTACGGGCCTTGTCCACCACCCCCACCCCAGCTGGCGTAGGGGGTTGAATAGCACCCCCAAAAATCTTCTTGTTTACCCAGAACCTCAGCTGTAACCTCGGGGTCTGTGCAGATGTAACGGAGGCCCACCCTAGTTCCAATGACCGATGTCCTTATCGGGG